AATATCTTTTTATTTTGAATAATTTGAGTTGTTTACTTATTTTAATTTAATAAATTTATAAATATTTTACTTATATTTAATTACTATTATTATGGTTAATGTTTAGATTACATAATAATAAAGTGTTTTTTTTCCCCATTTTAATGTTTAAATTACGACTTTAACATTTGACTTTTTTTTTTTTGAATTTTAAATGTCTAAAATTATTAACCATTCAATATCTAAAAGTAATCACTAATAATATAAATAATAAATAATATAAATAATAATTTAAATTGAAAAATGGGCTGAACATATACTTTATAATTATCTCTACTTTTTATTTGTTATTATTTAGTATTTGTGATTACTTTTAGATATTAAATGGTTAATAATCATTTAAAATATTTAATTTATATATGTGCAAATTATTGTAAAATTTGTTTATATTATGCATTATTTTAAACATATTTTTGTATTCATTGTTTCATTGGAATAACTAAAACTATATTTGAATTTTATTAGTTTTTATAATTTTATAGTATTTATGATATTTTATATCAATATTTTTCTAATTACAGTTTATATTTAAGATATTGAAATTATCATTATTATCATTGAAACATTGGATGTTTTGTACTTTTTCACGTTTACATGTGCATTTTTAAACCCAATAGTTTTTCATTAGAATTTATTAATTTTAATATATTAAAATTATATTGTTGTCATTTTACTCATTATTAATCATTCTTTTAAATTATGAAATAATAAAAGTTTTTTATTACAGTTTATATTTAAATTATTAAAATTATTATTAATATCATTAATAATATTGCAGTATTTTTTTTTTTGTCTATAAGTTTTCACATTTATAGTGCATTGTTAAACCCATTAGGATTTTTTAATTTGAAAATATTGTTAATAGCCTTAATAACTGTTATTGTTATTATTTTAATTATTATTAATATTTTTTAATTGTGAAATAATAATTAAATATTTTATGTGTTTTATTTTTCTAACTGGTTTATATTTACATTATTAAAATGATTACTTATATAACATATTGTAGTATTTTTTTTCATGCTAACAGTGCATTTTTAAACCCATTTGTTTTTAATGTTTATAATAAACTGTCAAAAATGATATTAATAATTGCTATTGTTATCATTTTAATTATTAGTAATCCTTCTTTTCAAGTATAAAATGATAATAAAAAGAAAATTCATTTTGATTGATTTGACATTCAACCTGAAATACAAGATAAATGTATTTATTCAGCACCAATGAACATGTTTGACCTCACAACACAAAGGATTTGTAACCATGATTGATTTACTTCCCCTAGCATTTCATATGACACATAAATAATCAGACAATTAAAAAATAATACACTTCTGATGCATCCTTAAAGCTTTATTCCCATGAGATTTTACCAGATCAAATGTAGATATCAAATATCCGCATTGGCCTTATTAATGTAAATAAAGTAATATGTAGATCACCATCATGACGGATCACGGCTTTCATTCAGTCAGCTTATGTAAACCCACTCATTCAACGTAATGAAAGAGCGTAATAAAATATACATACAGCCCTGCTCACTCCCTCTCTATATATTACCGCCAGCCTTCATGTGCGATCAGATCTGATGTTAATTACATTTAAACAGAACAAGGCTCATTTTGATTTGAGTTTTAAAGTAACTCCTCAGTCCTTCTACCTGTCACTGCTTGCACATCACACACTAATGCTTTATTAAGAGCGTCTGCTGGGAGCCCGAGCCCGTTTTAGTACATTGGGCTCAATGTAAGACTAATTAAAAAGTGTATTTTTACATTATTAATTTCTGAGTTTCACACTTAATGAATGTGAAATGACAGGCCTCCTATTTTTATATGTACACGCTGAGGACGGAGCGGCCGCTGGGAATACTGATACGCAGGTTTTGGAGAAAACATCGGGCTCTCCTCTGGAGTCCGGCGGCTCAAAACAAACTCCACAAAAAGCCTTTCATCACAATGAAACGCTCAAATTATTTGACCTCCAAGTCCTTGGTGTTGGGACTTTGGCAAAAGACTCTTGTGATGCAGCAATCTTGATTTTTCATGCTTGATTCTGTAGTAAATTGGCCAATATTAATACAAATTCCATTTTTCTCATATTTATTTATTTAGTTAGAAACAAGAATGTTTTAAAATACATGAAAAAGCATTTAAAGAAGCACTATAATTATGTTTACTTATTTGTAATTATTTTATATTTGTGATTACATTAGAAATTAAATGGTTAATAATTTTAGACATTTAAAGATTGTACATTCAATGTATAGTTAGGGTTTAAACATAATAGGCATAATAATTCTCCATTTATTTGTCAAATTATTTTATGTCCCAGTCCTTGCTGTTGGGACTTTGTCAAGAGACTTTTGTGATGCAGCAATCTTGATTTTTCATGCTTGATTCTGTACAAATTTTCATTTTTCTCCCTCATATTTATTTATTAAGCTAGAAAGCAGAATGTTTTAACATACAAGTACATAAAAAAAGCTACATTTCCAGCTAAATGAGTACATGAATAAGCTCTAAAAACAATTGGGGTTGTGTTAAGTCCATTGTTATTATTATTATTATTATTATTATAAATAATATTAATATTATTATTATATATGGACAATATTAATATTATTTGTATTATTATTATATTAATATTATTAGTTATTAGTTATTGTTTTAACAATATTAGATTATTAGACATTATCATTATTATTATTACATTAATATTATTAGATTATTAGAAATTATTGTATTAACATTATTAGACATTATTATTATTATTACATTAATATTATTAGATTATTAGAAATTATTGTATTAACATTATTAGACATTATTATTATTACATTAACATTATTAGATTATTAGACATTATTATTATTATTATTATTACTACATTAACATTATTAGATTATTAGACATTATTATTATTATTACTTTAACATTATTAGATCATTAGACATTATTATTATTATTATTATTATTATTACTACTATTATTATTATTACATTAACATTATTTGATTATTAGACATTATTATTATTACTTTAACATTATTAGAATATTATTTATTATTATTATTTATTATTATTATTATTATTATAACATTTACATTATAGATTATTAGACATTATTATTACATTAACATTATTAGATTATTAGACATGATTATTATTATTATATTATCATTATAAGATTTAAAATGTGGAGTTGAAATGTTATATATAGACTATCCTTTTGAAATGATGCTGCATTAAAACACCTAGATTAAACTAAAACAGTAGATGGGCTAAAGATGGGCCCTTTCACTCTTTTTCCAGTACATGTTGCAGAAAACGGCAGAAATTGCATTGATTTTTGTATAAAAGTGCTGTAAACAAAGCAGCTGTGCTGGTATTTAATCTGCATTAAACAGTAGACAGCCTAAACAAAAAGCAAATTTAATTTTAATAAATATTTAAAACTTCTTTCTCATACATTTATCTATCTAGCTAGAAACAAGAATGTTTTAAGACATGAGTACATGAATAAGGTCTAACTAATGCTGGGTTGTGTTAAACCCATGCTGGGTCAAATATGGTCTGGTAATAGATTGTAAATTAGATTGTATAATTTAATCTGAAGTTGAACAGCTGTTCAAATAAAACAAAAACAGTAGACAGGCTAGATAAAAAGAGAAAATTCACAGCAGAAATCGCATAGTTTCTTTTGTATAAAAGTGCTGTAAACAAAGCAGCTGTACTGGTATTTATTGTGCATTAAAACGGCTGTTAAAATAAAACAAAAACAGTAGACGGCCTAAATAAAAAGCTCATTTTATTTTAATACATGATATGTGTTTTCTCATTTATTAATAACTAACGAGCTAAATGAGTACATGAATCAAGAATAAATTAATTTGGGGTTGTGTTCAGCCCATGCTGGGTCAAAAATAAACTATTATGCGACTGTTTCGTTTCAAATCTGAAGTTGAAATGTAATGATCATAGTATATAGCTTTTGGAAATTATGCGGCATTAAAACAGCTGTTAAAATAAAACAAAAACAGCAAACTGGCTAAATAAAAAGAGAAAATTCAATCTTTTTCTAGTACAGTATGTAGATCTTCTAAAACAGCAGGAATCCTATTGTTTATATCTATAAAAGTGCTGTAAACAAAGCAGCTGTATTCAATATGCATTAAAGCTGTTGAAATAAAACAAAAAAGTAGACAGGCTAAATAAAAAAGCTAATAAAATTTTAATACAGATTTCCTTTTTTCCTCATATATTTATTGATTTACTTAGAAACAAGAATGTTTTAACTTGCGTAAGAATTTTTTATTGTAAAAAGGTCTTAAAATAAAAATGGTGGCTTGTGTTAAGCCCATGCAGAGTTAAATATGGACTATTATTAGATTGTATATGTAGTAAATGAAATGTAATAATCAGTCTGCTTTTGGAATTGATGTTGCATTAAAACAGTAGACTGGTTAAATTAAAAAATAAATAAATAAAGTAAATTAACTCTTTTTCCAGTACCCGGTGCTTCTTTACAGCAGGAGTCACATAGTTTCTTTGTATAAAAGTGCTGTAAACTAAGCAGCTGTGCTGGTATTTGATGCGCATTATAGAGATACAAAAGTAAAATACCATCTGAACTTTTCTGACAACAATGGGCTCCTTTTACATATATTTTAATCAAACATCTCCATTAAGTATTTAAAGTCCACAAGAAATAGAAGTTGCTGCAGACTTTTATGTCAGTATGATGATGCAGTTTTAACTGAGTAGGGGCTGGGGATTGTTCTCAACTTTCAGTCACAGCAAACTAATGGTTGAAGGGACGTGGCTAAGCATATTTTGTCAAACTGACATCATCCAAGAAGGACTGCCATTACTGATTTGAAGCAAATGATCAGAGATTACCAAAACAACAACCAAAACAGATTAGTCACACTCACACCTTGAGACTAACAACCCGGCAAGCATTTTTGTGTCTGAAACAGGTCTAATAGACATTAATTTGTGATGCCAGTCAAAATCGTATAGATCACTAAGAATAGCCCAAAACTAGACTAGTCATCAAATCAACTTGAATGACTACACATGCGAAGTCTGTCCAATCTGTGTATATTTTTGATGATTAGCCTAGTTTTTTTCTAATTTAGGTTTAGATAGTCAATTTAGCCTCATGTTAGACGTCTATTAGTTGTTTATCAAACATAAAATTGTTTGGTGGGAATGTGCGCTAGCAAAATAAACATTGTACATTTTGATTTCATGTGAACTCCTTTTCTTTCAGTGCTTTAGGAACAGTGAGCTGCCCTGTCCAGAAGCCTGTATATTTTGGTGAGTTTTCAGATACAACCAAATAATACACACACACAGAACAACAGGTGCACAAGTGTATTGAATGAAGCATTTATAGAGCACATTAACAGCTAATGTATACTCTAGATTTAGATAGAGATGTCCACTGACGAAATGAACAAAGATCCAGCTCATTTATCAAACGTTTTTGAAACCTAAAACTCCAAACAATCACTAAATAAAAATGTACATTCACAAAATTCTTATCCATTCTGTCTAAAGTTGGAAACATGATTAAATTAGCGGATGTATATAATTGGCAAAGGTCATAATTTGTTACATTTGTTCAATTTATTTGAGAATATCTTGTGTTGTTGTTTTTTTTTTTTTTTTTTTTTTTTTTTTTTTTTGGGTTTTTTTTTT